GCCTTCTTCTTTTCTTTCTTTGGAATGCCACCCCATCTCCTTGCTCTCTTCTCTCTCTTTCTCCATTCTCTTTCTCTCTCTTACCCCTTCTCTCCTTCTAAGAAGGCAAAGTAAACTTTATACTTTTATGGCCTATAGAAAAGAATGAGCACATCCATACAAAGACTTGCGCACGAATGTTTATAGCAGCCTTCTTCATAAGAGCCAAAACCCCCAAAATAACTAAGTATCAGTCAACAGGCAAAGGAACTATCTTCGTCCATTCCACATTGCTATAAAAGAATATCTTCCATTTATAATGAAAAGAGGTTTATTTTTCTCATGGCTCTGCAGGCTGTATGAGAAACATGGTACCGGCATCTGCTCAGCTTCTGCTGAGGCCCTCAGGCTGCTTCCACACACAGTAGAAGTCCAAGGGGAGCAGGCATGTGCAAAGATCTCGTGGTGAGGGGGAAACAGGAGAGGCTGGACAGAGAGTTGCCAGGTTCTTTTTAACTACCAGCATTTTCAGGAATAGAGTGAGAAGTTCCCCAACAGAGGGCATTGGTCTATTCATGAGGGATCTGTTCTTAATACACAAAGACCCATTAGACCCCTCTCCAACACCAGGGATCAAATTTCAACATGAGATTTGCTAGGGGACAAATAAACCACATCCAAACTATAGCAAGGATGAACAAATTTGTACATCCAACATAATGGGATAAAATTTTGTAGTAAAAGGGAACTGTTCATGCATTCTAGGACATGGATAAATTCCCAATTAATTCCTCTGAGTGAAAGAAGACAATAAAAAAGGGTCCATATTATATGCCTCTACTTATATAAAGCTCAAGAAAATTCTTGAGGGATATGGACAGGAGGGAAGAGCAGGTGGAGGGATTACTATGAGGCATGAGAAACTTTGAGGGTGAAGGATAGGTTCACTACCTTGTGGGATGGCTTCATGTGTGTTTACATATCTCAAAGTTCATCAATGTGCCTACTTTAAATGTATTCATTATATCTCAGTAAAGCTGAAAGAAGGAAAGAGAAGGAAGAAAGAAAAAGGTAGGGGGTAGAGGCAAAACAAGAAAACAAGTTCTGAGATATCACTTCTTACCTATTAGGTTGGTTAAAAAATAAAACAAAATAGCCTATTTCTTAGAACAAGAAAAAATCTTTAGATGTATGTAGAAATACAGTGCAGTAGTACTCTCATTTTAATAATAAATAGGACTATCTACTTTAAAACATCTGAAATTTGAAGTTTATTTAAAATACAAGCAATATATCACCAAGCTTGATTCATTAATGATTTGACAGTTTGCTCATCAAAGGGAAGAATCTCTCTTTTTTTGAAGTTTTTTTTTGGCTGGGGCTGGGTTTGAACCTCTGGCATAAGGGGCTGGCACCCTACTCCTATGAGCCACAGGTGCCACCCAAAGGGAAGAATCTTTTGAAAGTCATCTCAGAGTGTTAAAATCATAGATACCAGACCAGGTGTGGTGGCTCACACCTGCAATTTTAGCACTCTGGGAGGTCAACATGGGTGACATTGCTTGAACTCAGGAGTTCAAGACCAGCCTGAGCAAAGCAAGACCCTGTCTCTAAAAATAGGTGGGTGTCATGGCGGGAGCCTGTGGTCCCAGCCACTTGGAGGCTAAGGCAAGAGAATCGCTTGAGACCAAGAGTTTGAGGTTGATATGAGCTATGATGCCATGGCACTCTCCTAGGGATGACAAAGTGTGAAATTTTTCTGTCTCCCAAAAAAAAGAAAATTTATAGATAACAGAAGTGTGACCAAATATGTTTCCCACAAAGCTAATCGTCTATCACAGCAAGTAGTAAAAGAACAACAGAATTCACGTTATTTGACACCACTTGCTTCCTTCAATCAATTTATCAAATGTCAAATCATTTAGCTACTTTAAGGTCTTGTGGAATGCTGACTTTCTATATAGCAGGCTATGATTTGGATCTCATAGGCCAGAAATTCTAAAAGTACTTTTAATGTCATGGCATGTAATGATCCTTTAATAAAGCCATCACTAAATTACAACCTGAATGCTATAGGGCTTGTGAGATTTTAGAATAAGCCCAGTTTTGCAGAGTGAGTGAAATCCTTCACATGCATCCCAGCACTAATGAATTCATACCCCTATTCTCAGTTTTGGATGTGCTGCTCCACATCACGGGTGACATCATCTGTTTTACATCACTCATTTCCCTGTGAATGTGTCTGAGTTCTCATAAATAGTTTAGAGAAAGCAAACCTTATCCTATTCAAGCCAAGCCTCCTTGCAATAGAATTTTTATTTCCTAAACAATTTCAAATGAGATGATTTATATGCACTAGCTGTTCTGTGAGAAGATGTTAAAATGGAGCAAAGGCAACAGTTTATACTTGTGTGACATTCTAATTCTCCAACAGGCCCAAAGGCGTAGGGTTGAGATAAATGGGGACAACCTGGCACCTGAGAAGTAGATCTAAGTAAAATAAACTCTCCCTGGATTATCCCATAACATTCCCACGATACTGTAGTGAACACATATTCTTTGATCACTAACATTTGGAACTCCTTGAATCTCCATGAATCTCAACTTCTTAATTTCTAAGTTGGTAATAACAATAATATATATTTTTTAAAGTATCAGTATAGTAGGGATGATCCCAGCCACGGCCCTCACATGCTGTTCTAAGGATTCAAAGGAAAGAGTAAGGCAATCATCTAGTTACTACCCTTGGCTCTCAGTCCATTTGTCTATTTCAAAGCATACAGATTGAGAACCATTCTGACACCTAAAATTTTGTCGTGGAGCTGCAGAGACTAAGAAAGCTCAGTCCTTATTTTAGGAATGAACAGTCTATCAAGGGAACCTGCAAGTTCAAGTCAACGCAGAGAACGGTGCAATAAAGGCAGATAAAGAACAACTGTGGCACAAAAGGTGGACTGTGGTTCATTCTGCTGGGGTGGTCCAGAAATCTTCACAGAATTGAAATGATTTCATCACCTCCATCTTCCCCACCACTACTACACACAGTTATTTAAAAGAGACACCTGAGACGCACTTGCAATTTGGTCCCTCATGGCACACAGGATCTGTTCTGCTGAGTTCATGAGTTCTGTGATTTAGAAAGGACGGTGCTGTGGAAGGAGGCAGCAGTCACGTGGATATCTCATGACCTTGGGGTATCTAATCCTAACTTCCTCCAGCTAAATGTATTCTTTTAGAAATATAAAAAGACAGAAACTAAAGCAAAACCAGTTCCTTGGAGCCCTAGGGCTCCCAACCCTGTCAAATATAAATTGGAAGAGGATAGATTCTGAACTCCAGGAAGCTAATTGGAAGCCCCAGGCACACATCCTAAATGTGGTAATTGGCACCTTGTCCTTCTCAGCGTGGATGCAGCCAACAAGAGGATTACCTCTAGGGTGCTGATTGATTAGCACCATTAGCAGAGATTGGTTTTCTGAGGTTTCCCATTTCTGAAACCCAAAGGTCCCAATCACACAGAGAAAAATTGTTTTCCTGTGGTCCAACAAGGGACGTTCTTTAGACAACAGAATCATAAAAAGCTCCATTAAATAAAATGAAAATTCATTATGAGGGCTTTTATTTCCTAGCTGGAAAAAGAGAAATACAAGATTAAATGATTGCTAGCATTAGAAAACACAATTTTAATTAAAACTACATTCTATCAATCCAATTGTGTTTCCCTTTGACTTATTTTTCTTCAACAGAAATCGTCTTTCTGAAAATGATCATGGAAGCGACAGCTATGTCCAGTGGGTCTGGGCCCCGATGAAATGAACTAACCACACTGAGAATAAGAATATTACTACTTTAAGAATAATTTGGGGGCAGAAGTGGGGTTCTGCATGTCTTTCACAAAGGAATCCATTGTTCATAGCTGATGATGCTGGGGTGGGCAGGGAGGGACAGACCAGAGATGCTGAATCCACAAAGAAATAGTCAAATCGCAGAGCACAGTCCCCTGACCCACAGGGAGTCCATTTGAATGCCAGCAATTCAACTAAGTATACTTTGGTACGCTTGTGGGTACTTTACGCAACATTTTCACATCCCAAATATCTTATTTTGAAACAGACTATTTAAATAATATCGTTCTCAGTCTAGAAATGAAAAAAAAAAATAAGGTTCAGATAGTTTAAATGACTTGGCTGCCATCACACAGGTTGGACATGGCACGTGTATATCTGACTCCAAGTGTTTGGACTCTTAGTCCTAGGATTATAACACGCTGCCTCTGCCCTGGTGTTGAAAGCTCCACAAATGTCTCTGGGTGGAGTCTAGAGGGTCCTAAAACTGAATCTAGGGAGCCTGAGAGAAATACAGATAGCTTTTTTTTTTTTCTTTCTTAAGGAAAATTCTCAAACTAACATACAGGTGGAGAGCTAGCATAATGACCTTCCGTGTATCCACCACTCCAGCTTCAACACTTCTTAGCAGCTCACAGTGGGCCTAGGGAGACCCAGTGGTGCTCAGGCAGAAAGGGCCCAGCTTCCCCAGGCCTGAATAACAAGACCTCAAGCATCAGAGCTAAGCCTGTCATCAGCTGACCTGAAAGAGAATGAAACTAAATATATCTGGACTAGACCATGACTTAAACTTAACTAAGCCGAATAATGTGATGTATCTGATTTATAGCACTTAGGTTTGAACTCCAGGATTCCCTCATATAGAATATAAGTGAATATTTCAGAGCAGCCCAGGGTGTTTAACATTGTTGTAGGGCCACAGGGAGCAGCCTGGAGTTTATTACAGGTCACACTTCAAAAGGCCACACCACTTCCCCAAGTTATCACTCCACCCCACTTAACCTTAATCTTCTACTTGGAAAAGAACACTCCGTGTTTCATTTTAAGTATCTATACTAGTAAACTGTGAAAATTAAACTACATCAAGAAAACTTCAATATGAATTAAAGAAGTTAGTTTCATTAATTATGTAAGTGTTTATTTAAAAAAAGAATTCATGCAAATTAGATTTCTTACCGATGCTTGGTTTTTTGGTTCTATATCTGACTCTGAACTGCTTGATGACGGGCTGAAATAGAGAATTTAGAATTCTGAAATTGCGGTTCAGGCACACATGTGCGCATGCGTGCACATCCACCTCCACCACCGCCACCACCCACCCCCCGCCCCCAACACATCAAATAGCTCTTTACACGGTAACATTTAAGATAAATTTTCCAAAGTATTTCCTCCAAATGTCAATTTTTGGACATTTCAAAGGAAATAAAAATAATGGAATGTAAACTTTTCTTGCAGAAGATAAAATAGCCTTTATAGCTTCTCTTGAGAATAAGCAGTCTGAACAGTACAATCTGTTCTGAAAACCTGCAGAATCTCTTATTCAACTAAAACAAAAAAAAAAA